GCAACTAACTCATTAGTCGCAATGCTTGCAAGGCTTAAGTGATGTGCATTACCGAGAGGGCCCAGAGATACCTCTCCGACAATCGGAGTGACAAAACCTAATCTCGAAATACGCCAACCCAACATGTACCTTTGGAGACACCTGTAGTACTCCTTTATAATCACCCAGTTACGTTGTGACGTTTGGTAGCACCCAAAGTGTTCCTCCGGTAAACGGGAGTTGCATAATCTCATAGTTATAGGAACATGTATAAGTCATGAAGAAAGCAATAGCAACATACTTAAACGATCAAGTGCTAAGCTAACGGAATGGGTCAAGTCAATCAAATCATTCAACTAATGATGTGACCCCGTTAATCAAATAACAACTCTTTGTCCATGGTTAGGAAACATAACCATCTTTGATTAATGAGCTAGTCAAGTAGAGGCATACTAGTGACACTCTGTTTGTCTATGTATTCACACATGTATTATGTTTCCGGTTAATACAATTCTAGCATGAATAATAAACATTTATCATGATATAAGGAAATAAATAATAACTTTATTATTGCCTCTAGGGCATATTTCCTTCACCTTCCCCTCCTGATCGGCAATGACATGCCCCTCCGAGTTGATAGCGGGGATGAAATTTTTGGATTTCCTGCCATTGGCCACCAAATGAAATAGCTTGGTGTTAGCGTCTCCGTCTTGCAACTAGTTCAACCTTGACCTATGGCTCGCAATCGTCCTCTCCAGCGAAGCGAGCCCAAGCACCAGTCGTTTGAGAATGTTCCTAAGCCCTCTCTCCTCATCAGATATCACACGAGATTCTTGAGCACAATCGAACCTGAGAATCACCAGGTTGGCCACCGCTATCTGAAGCTTGATGTTCCCGACTCGCCGCTGTCCCCATGCCGTGAGGTGTTTGGCGCAGTTTCTAAGAAGTATATCCAGACGCAAGAAGGGGTCAGTGATGGATTGGTCACAAACCCATCCTTCGGCTACAGCATCCATAAACCCCTCCAGTTTCACCCAAAAAGCTCAAATCTGAAATGCCTGCGCGGCTGCAGGTGGTCTTCCATAGAGATATATAGGGGACAGTGATCCGAGATTCCAGTGGAAAGAGCCTGCATCAAGCACTCCGGGTATCCTAGCTCCCAGTCTATCGAAACGAAAGCGCGGTCAATTTTCTTCATCGTAGGAACGCTCCTTCATTGCTCCACGTAAACCGCCTGCCATGGAGGAACAGCTCTTTGAGGGCATTGTCATCCACAAACCGTTTGAATCTCCCCATCATCCTTCTATCTAACAGATTGTTGTTCTTGTCTGCCGCATGGAGGGTGAGGTTCAAGTCGCCTATCACCATCCAAGGTCCCAGGCAGAGTGCCCTCCTGTCCGAGAGCTCTTGCAAGAACATGACCTTTTGAGGGTCCTCTTGAGGCCCATATACAACCGAAAGCCACCAAGAAGCTCCTTCCCTCTGTGTGACAAATCCCGTGATGAAGTTAGTGTCGCGCACCGTGTTAGAAACCGTCGCTATGGAAGAGTTCCAAGCGATGATGATGCCACCTCGAGTGGCCGAAGCCGGCAAGTACGCAAAACCATCGTAAGATGGTCCTAAACATTGCATAATCACATATTGGTCTACATGCTCCAGTTTAGACTCGAGGATGCACCAGATCGAAACATGCATAGAGTCCGCTAGCTCCCTCAACGCATCCCTCCTAGCTGGACTATTAAGGTCACGTACATTCCAGCATACTAACTCCACCGGTGAGTACGACATGGGGAGGCAAGGCTCCAATGTCGGCACCATGCCATCTACGCGGACGAAGCCACGAGCTTCTCCATATCTCCCTCTAGGTTCAATGGTACTGCTTTGCCAAAGATCGCAGCGATCACCCTTAGTTGTGGTTCTTGGAGTGGCGAGTCAAACATATCACGAAGTTGACCAAGAGCTCCCTCCGACACGGCCAGGTCATCATGGGCAATGCCCAGCGTTTTGAGCAGGATCGTTTCGGCCGCAGACGCCTTGGATTTAGATCGTGCCGAGGAGCACACGGATCTGGTGTTACGCCGGGGTGTGAACGGGTCCTGGCCAGCGCGGACGCCACGCATAGCTTCGATCTCCTTTAGCAGCGGGGGGGGGGGGGCAAGTTTCTTGA